GTTCACTCCGAGCAACTCCCACCAGGCAGCTCCAGCCCACGGACAGGGACCCCCGGGGAACTGGTGGGTCTGCACCATCTTCCCTGCCTGTTCATCCACCTCCAGCATCTCCCATGGTATTCAGTTTATGTGGTGAGATGGCGGTGGCAGGGGGCTGCAAGTGTGTCTTCTGCAAGAAGACACCAGGAGCTGCTCCCATGATGGAGACAGTCAGACCCAACCAACCCCAAAACAGACCCACTTCTGCCCAAAGCTGAGCCAACCACCAACACTGGTGTTGCCTCTGTGACAATACACATAGGGTAAAAAGCGCGGCGCAGCAGCTGTGGGAGAGAGAAGTGAGAAAAATGTGAAAGAAACGCCCCAGGAAGAGAACACGGAGGGGGAGGAGGTGCTCCAGGCACCAGAGCAGGGATTCCCCTACAGCCCGTGGAGAAGACCATGGTGAAGCAGGTTGTCTCCCTGCAGCCCATGGAGGACCACACTGGAGCAGATATGCACCTACAGCCCATGGAGGACTCCATGCCAGAGCAGTCTGTTCCTGATTGACTGTGTGGAAAGGTGCCACGCTGGTGCAGTTCATGAAGAACTACGGCCCATGGGAAGGACCCATGCTGGAGCTTTCTCACCTTCTTTTCTCCTTGCTGCAGATGGGGAGTGAGGGAGCGGCTGGGGGGGGAGCTGTGGAGGTCAACCCACCGCACCCATCAACCTGCTCCCCATTGCAGTGCTGAATCAGATTGCAAGAGCCAGGCTGAAACTCCTCCCACCCCCAATTTATTCTTCCCCAAGAGCTGCAAGATGGCAACACTCTCCATAAACCTAGACCAGATTCCCACAGATCTGGCTGAAAGTCGCAATAACTCCTCGCCAAGCACTGGGACAGCACATCCCTCGATGCCAGGCTCTTCTCTGCCACGCTGCAGGAGTCAGAGCAAGGACTGAACTCAGACGGAGACCCAGGAATAACCCCCACTACCTGCCTGCCCTGGAGAAGGTGGAAGTTAATGAGCTGTGGGCTTGCTGCCCAGACCCACACCAAACAGCACGGCTCTCATTAGCCTAAGCTACTACTCAGTGAGCTCCTACTCATTAGTCTTTTAATAGCAGGGCTCCTCTGAGTTAATCCTACTCTTCCTGACACTCCACATCTGTAGGGTACACACTGGTGGCAGACAGGCCAGCAAGAAGTTTTCCGAAAAGGTGCTGTAGCTCCCTTAGCCCAGCCTCGGGAGGCAGAAAAACTTGGGCAGCGGTTCAAGTCGCTGCCTGCGCTGCCCAGCCTGTTCTGCATGACCTCATGCTCCATCAATGCGCTGCCATGAGCTACAGCACGGGAGGAGAGAGCTCGTGCTGATACGTGGGGATGCCTTTGCCCCACGCCCCTCCGCAGGTCTCAGGCGCATCCAGCCGCCCCATCCCAAGGATCTTTCCCGGCAGCCGGCCAAGGCCCTGCAGACAGAGCTGCTTCTGTTCAGCAGCAGGAGCCAGCTGCTTCCCCAGGCACGGAGCACCAACGAACGTGTGCTCCCCAGCATCCGCGCTGCCTCCAACGCAGGAGTTTCTGGGGTGGGACACAGCAGCAAAGGAGCAAGGGCTCCTCCCAAGGTCAGAACAGGAGGGGTCCCAGCTTTATACTGACTGCCTTTCACCTCCTCCCAGGAATAATCCCTTGCGTGATGGGTCTCACTAGCCAGCCCCCTGCCTAGCAGCGCAGCACACGGGTCACATTTTCCACTACAAGTAGTTTGGATTCTCCTATTTCTTGGCTGCTTCAGGCCTGGTTTTGGAGCAGTTCAGCATCTCCATCCTCCCCACACACATTTTTCATTGGTCAGTGATAGAGCTGTCACAGGCTGGACAGTCAGGAACCAAGGCAACAAGGATCAGCTACCGCTTTTGGAAATGTTTGCTTATATGAACCCACAGGCTGGCTGGAAGGCAAAAATAACATCCTCTGAAAACTTGGACGGCTCATCCCAGCGGGGCCGGGGGAGGTCAGGTCAAGCCTGTCTCGCGAGGGCAAAATGGGCACCTCTGCCCAGGGCGAGCGAGCACAAACAGGGCCTTCCTTACGGCACACCTCCCTGCTGCCCTTTGCCCCCCGGCCTGGAGCCTGCACTTGGGCTTTGCTCCCCTTTTCCCTGCTCTCGCCCATCCCTTTCGGAGTGAAGCACCCACCAGGTGATGATGGAGCTGCTTCTCCCTGGGGTTCCCCTGGCCAGGCCAGCCCGGTACACTGTGCCAGGCGGTCCCAGGGAAGCTGTTTACACCGCGGGCACGGTTATCTAAGCCTGAAACCATGGGACAGCCTGCCTGAGCTATCCCCAACTCGGGAGCAAGGACGCGGCTGCGGGCCCGAGCTCCTTCACTCCTGCATCAACAGCCCTGGGGGCTGTGCACCTGCCAGCCCTGCACCCCGCGCACGGCACCCCGGACCCTCTCACCCTGCACCCCAAATCTCTCGCTCTACACCCCGGATCCCATGCACCTCGGACCCCCTGCACTCCAGATCCCCTGCACCCTGGATCCCCAGCACTCTGGATCGCCAGCACTCTGGATCCCCAGCACTCCAGGCACCCTAGATCCCCTGCACAACGGACAACCCTGCACCCCAGATCCCCTGCACCCTGGATCCCCAGCGCTCCGAGCTCCCTGGCACCCTGGATCCCCTGCACACCGAACAACCCTGCACCCCAGACCCCCTGCACCCCGGATCCCCAGCACTCCAGATCTCCTGCACCCTGGGCTCCCCTGCACCCCGGGCTCCCCTGCATCCCAGCTCCCCGTCACCCCGGGCTCCCTGGCACCCCTCACCCCTGGCACGCCAGGCTCCCTGGCACCCCTGATCCTTGGCACCCTTGATCCCCGGCATCCTGGCTCCCCGGCACCCCGGGTCCCCCGCACCCCGGATCCCCTC